TAATTTATGTTATCGTTATGTTATATTTATTAGCAATTTATTTAAATTATGATTTATATTTAAAATGAACTATTTAAATGCTCCTTTTCTTGTTGATTTAATTCAATTAATCTTTCTTTTAAAGCTACTGTTCGTTCAAGAATTTCAAGTTTTTTTTGTTCCCAATTTAACCAACGAGTTTGTTCTTCATCATCCGGAATAATGAAATCAGAATTTTGTTGAGAATTATTATTTTCTTTACTTGTTATTGTACGTTTTCGTTTTTTTGGTTCAGTAGGTTCTTTATGTTGAGTAGATTTTTCTTTACGTTTTTCTAAAAATTAAATTTTATTTAATAAAATTTTATATTTAAAAGCATATTTTATATAACTACTTACGAATACGTCGTGCAGCTTCTTTTGTTCGTTGTAATTGTGATTTATTTTTAGAAGAACTTGGAACATTATATAATTCATGTATATTAACTGAACTCCATTGCCGTTGATCAAAAGCACTAGCACTATATAAATTTAATTTAAATTAAAGTTTTTTAAAAAAAAAAATATTTAATAATAGATCTTACTTGTATATAGCAGCCAATAAAGAAAGATTTTGTCCATCTCTATTTATATTAGCGTGCGCACTTTCTCCAGCATTAGTATTATCAGGAATTGTATTCCAAATATCCATTGAAATTTTTGTAAATGCACATGATATAGCTGAAAGAACCCATGGTTGCCGTTTATCTTTAACCCAATCTAAATAAATAAATATAAATAAAATGTTTTTAAATTATTAACTTTTATAAAAATATATACCTTGAGTTTCTTTTTCATTACTATTTTCTAATTGATTTAATGCCGAAAGAACTTCTTCACGTGTTTTTAAATATGGAATTCCATTCATTATTTTTTTAGACTCAATTGAAATTGGTTTTGTTTTAATATTTCTAATTACCGGTAATTAAAATTAATATCAATATTTTTTATTTTTTCAAATAAATCTAATATTAAAATGAAAATTACTACAAATCACCACTGGTGATCATCACCGGTGATTTACGATATATAATTAGGTATAACGTGTAAACTTTTTAAACAAAAGTTTATTTGTTTTGATATTAGGGTAAGGGTAATGGTTTGATAATAAAGTTAAACAAAATCTATAGTAAAATTTTGCAAGGAATTTTTTTTGTTAGAGCCCGAAAGAATGGTTTCATAGACAAAAATTTTAAGATACGATTGATTTTTTAAAAAATTCTTTGTTTTTGTTACATGAAACTGATCTGCACGTTACTCCTGATCTTGCAAATTGATTGGCTAATTATGCACCGGTGATGATCACCAGTGGTGATAAATAGCAAACTTCTATTAAAATATAAATTATACCTTTTATAATGAACAAGACATATGCAATATAAATTTTGAAGATGTTCAATATAGTCCATTTGTGGATATTTATTAGCAAGATATTTGCCTAAACCTAATTTTAAATAATATTAGTATATATAAGTAATGAAAAAAGAAAACTTATAAATTATTTTACTTAATAAATAAAATAATTTTAGTTTTTTTTTTGTTACTTGTACAATAGATACTGTCTAATTGCATACTCATAGACAGACATTCGTCTGATTGGCTGATGCAAATCAATTGCCCGGGTAACTTATTTATACTATTTAAAGTACTTTTTAAGAACGTAACGTTTCACTATCAAAAAATAACCATAAAAGCCATTTCTAGCTTCGAAAGA